ACCCATTCAGGACTAGAGGACTTGTTCCCCTAGCGATCGGCTGGTGGCTGTCTTCAGAACTGCCTCCACTAAAGAGACCTTGCCCAGAGTCACATCCCTCCCCAGGGCTGCCCATATGTAATCACTGATGCAGGTTTATAAAGTCCCTGCCTCCTTGTCCCAGCTTGGGGCAACTCTGAAGAGCCCTCCTGGCTTCCCAGGTCCTCATGGGGTCAGCTAGGCCTGTCCCTGAGACCATATCACAGTCCAAAGCCTCCCTTCACCCAGCGCCCCTTCCTTCTCTTTTCCCCTCTAGCTCACAAATGCTGGTTTCAAGAAGCCTCCACAGGGAGGCTCCTACATGCTCACCTCTCTCCCCAGAGGCAGCTTCCTGGAAACCAAACCTGTGATACAACCTTTCTTCACCAACAGGCCTGGGTGTGTCCCCTTTTGTTCCCGTAGCCTTAGGGGTGCTAATCTCTGGTAGTCGCATCTTCTCCTTTGTCATACTCCAGCCCTTTCAACATGTCCGCAGTCATTCCGCTGTATTCGATATTCCGTTCAAGTACTTAAGAGTTCTTCTGTTTTCCCAACTGGAGTTTGAGGGGCTCAGGCCAACAGAGGTTCCCCTACCTCACAGTTGCACCATGTGGAACACATTTCCCCCAGCGCCACCATGGCAGGGGGAGTAAGATGGAGGTGGCACGCAGCTCCTCAGTGCTTGGGCTCAGAAGTAGCATGTGTCGCTTCCTTTCGTAGTTCCCTGGCCAAATTAATCATTTAGCTGTAACTTAATTGGTTGGAAGACTTGGAAATATAGGGGAGCACTTGGAATGTTTAGTGAGCCCCAAGTGTCTCTGTCACAATGAGTTAATCAAGAAAGAGAAGGGCATGGTGTGAGAAAACAGAGATTAGTGTGAGCAAGTGTGAGAGAGACAAAGTCTCAGAATGATGGTGGGGAGAGAATCCCAGGGGGACAGCTGGGAAGGAGCCCTGAAAGCAATCTGCCCAACACCGATCCAGAGGAAGGAGGCTCCAGAAGGGATGTCCCCAGGAAACAAAATGAAACAATACATTTCAGACCAGTTTGGCTGGGTGGAAAGTTGGACTGAGTGGTGTTTATAGAGCCAGAGGAGGATGTGGGAAGATTTATTAAGAGATTCTAAGAATGAATCAAAGCAAATAAAAATGAAAAAAAAAAGGAGAGTGATTAACTCCAAAAAGAATTAAGAGTTGTACAGAAGGAAACTAATAAAAATACTGGGCTTGGCAGTGAAGGATATTTACGTAGATATAATTATGGAAACAGTAAACATGGATTTAACCAATCCTGCAATAAAACTGTATTGAGAGGTGCAGCACTGCAATGCAATTCTGGTGCTAACCATGAGAATTAGCACAGACAGGTTAAGGGCACAGTCCCCAAAAAGACACCTTTCCTTCAGATATAATTCCAGGGTTCCCAAGCCACCCACACACTTCTGACCAACTGGCTACAAGTTTGGGGTTTCCATGACCTACTCAAGTTTGATAATTCCCTAGATCAACTCATGGAATTCAGGAAAGCACTGTGGTTATAATTACAGTTTTTATTATAAATAACACACATCAAGACCAGCCGTGGTCTAGGAAGAGACCCGTAGGGCATGATCTGAGAGAGTCCCGAATGTGGAGCTTCTGTATTCTTGCCCTGTGGAATCAAGACACATCAGTCTCCCCGCACACGGGTGTTTATCATAAACCAGGAAGCTCACCAGAGCCTTGTGTCCAGAGTTTTTATTGGGATCTCCCTATATAGGCAGGATTGATTTAATCACCGGTCATGTGATTGAACTTAATCTCCAGCCCTCTTCTCTGCCCAGGGGCCAGGTGGATGTCACAAGACTCAATACCCCAACCCCAATCACATGGATTGTCTTTCTGGTATGACCGGCCCCCACCCAGAAGCTATCTAGGGGCCCACCTGAGTCACCCCATTAGCATAAACTCAGGAAGGGCTCACCATGAATAACAAAGACATTCCTATCAGTGGGGACAGGCCAAGGGTTCAGAAACTCTGTCTCAGGGACTCAGGACAAAGGCCAAACAAATCTCTTATTATTCAACAGCATGATGAGAGGGACAGTGTGCATGTGTATGTATGGTTTCAAGAGTTAAATCTTCATCTTCCAAAGTGAGATGTCAAAAAATTCTATCTAAAGTGGGGAAAAAAGGTGAAGTACTAGCATTATAAGCATGCCATTTAAAAATATGGTGACAAATGCCAGAAGAGAAGGGGAGTGTCCAGTCTTCAGAAGTAAGGAGAGATTTTTGTTGTCACTGTTGTTGCTAAAAGCCTTGTAGAACTACTTGACTTATTCAACTAGGCATATGTATTACCTTGATGGAAATTAAAGAGAAAAGGCCGGGCACAGTGGCTCATGCCTGTAATCTCAGCACTTTGGGAGGCTGAGGCAGGAGGATCACTTGAGGCCAGGAATTCGAGACCAGCCTGGGCAACATTATGAGACCCCATCTCTACAAAAAATAAAATGAAACAATCAGCCAGGTGTGGTGGTGCATACCTGTTGTCCCAGCTGCTCAGGAGGCTGAGGCAGGAGGTTCATTTGAGCCCAGGAGTTTGAGGCTGCAGTGAGCTATGATGACACCACTGGGCTCTAACCTGGGCAACAGAACACAACCCTGTCTCAAAAAAGGAAAAAGAAAAAGAAAAAAAACTAAAGAGATAAAAAAGGAAGAAAAAGGATGGATTTTGAGTAAGGTGCTCAGGAATGGGTGTGCAGAAGGAATGGCCCTGGGGAGAAACTGGGTTCAGTAAAACCTTCCCTGCATGTTTCCATGCTGCACGGGGCAGGCAGTGAGCTCAGGGAAGGAAGCAGAGCCCACGAGGGGTCAGAGAAGGGGCAGACAGAAGGGGAACCAAGGTGTTTCTCTCTGCAGCTCCACAGACTTGTCCAATGTTGCTCAGAGGCCGAACAATGAGATGTGGGATTTAGTGACACTGAGGTTGCTGGTGACACTTGGCGGGGGTTGGGGGTAGTGCTGTCTGGCTGGAGTGGTGCGGTGGAGGCTAGGCTGGAGAGAAGGTGGGATGGGCAGATGGGGACATGGAGAAAGGAAGTTTGGCCACCGAGGGCAGGAGAGAGCAGGCTAGCATGTTTTTAAGGTGGGAGAGCACTGAGGATGGGGGGATGCTTGGCAAGAAGTCAGCAGAGGGAGAGGCTAAAGATTGGCGGACCAAAGGGGCAGGCATGAGGTCTGCAGGAGGCAGGAGGGGAGGGCCAGTGCACGCCTGCCCTTAGCTTACACTGGCTTTCTCCTCCTCATCTGCTCACTTACTCCGCCTCCTGCTATCTGTAGTGGCTGCTGTCTCCACTTCACTGGCCTCAAGTTACCTGGTGGCAGGAGGTCCCTGGATGATTCTGCTTCCAAAGCTGGGTTCCTGTTGCTGCACTTGTCCCCCGACCAAGTGTCACACGTGGCCTGCTGCCCCCCAAGCTCCTAGTCTGGGGGTGAAGCTGCCAGAGTGCATGTTTTTCAGGCAAGGGCCAGAGGGGAAGCCCAAAACTCCAGTGCCTGTGGGGGCCAGGCAGAATCCAAGAGTGAGACAAAGGTGCCACCTGTGGGACAGCAGTGTGATCAGGCAGACAGTACTGAGGGACTCATGCCTCCTCCGTGGGGACATTCCTACTGCACCGGAGGAACAGCTCTCTGTCCCCAGATCTTTGGGTTTTTCAAGAGAATTTGAGCATCTGGATTTGCATGTGAATTCTCCAGATTGGAGGTCTGTGCTCTGAGGACAGGAAAGCAAAGAGCTGGGATATTGAGATGGTCCAGGAAGGGCTCCCTGGGAGGAGACCCCTAACCCAGGCAGGAAGCAGCTTGGCAAGTCTGGAGGGGAGAGGGTGGGAGAGGTGGGAGGGCCTGACCACTGGCCTTGCAACCAGAGGAAGGGAACAGGGGGTGGAGACGGGGGAGCCCAGCTCTGCTAGTTCACCAGGGTGGCCTCGATGGATGGCCCGTTTGATCCAGGCGGGGCGGGTCACAGCCCACTGACCGGGCTGGCACACACTCCCCGCCCTTTGCCAACCTAGGGGTCCAGGAGGAGGGTTCCACGGTGTGGACGGGGGCGGCCTCTTTAGGGCCTGCTCAGGCGTAGGGTGGCGTCTTCCCATTAACTCAGCGCCATCTAATTGGGCGCTAATTAGCCACAATTTGTACCCTGGCCAGAGGCGCCTTGAGGCCACGCCTGCTCTTCAGGAGGTGGCAAGGATCGGGCTGGGAGCCCCGCAGACACCCAAGCAGCGACAGTCGCCAGCCGTGGCGCGCGGACACGCGCACCAGGGATGCGGCGCAGCGCGCGCTGCGCTCCGCGCCGGCTGCCCGGGACGCACGCAGGGCCCCGCATCCTGTCCCCCGGCCCCGGTGAGTGGCCGGGCCGGGAAGGGTTAAGCCCACAGAGCTGCGGCGGCCTAGAGCGGCGGCGACGGGGGCCGGGGCGC